ATATATGTAGAACATCACTTGAAATCAAGAACATGAACATGAAATAATAAAGAAATCAGAAAAATCTCATGATCAATTAGAGGTATCTTTTAAGATTTGTAACCCCCAATTAATTATTAGGGGGTTACAAAAAGGTTAAATTACCAAATTACCCTTATCTTTAATTTATAAATTAGATTTGAACATAAAGTCAAGAAAGAATGTGATTGGTTGATGATGGTTAGCATAGTTTGCACAATATGTTTGGTTTCTATTTGAACCAACCTCTCTCTCTCTCTCTATATATATATGTATATATATATATATATATAATTTATAAGTACGTAATTTATTGACCACTTTTAAGCGATCAATCACAAAGTGGTGAACCACCGTTATGAAGGGTCAACTACAACAAATAGTTGCCCAAGAGTCAAAGAAAATGAAATACGTACCTCAAGCGAAATAGAGAAGTAAAGCACGATCAAACGAGATTCACGGTAAAGTTCGACTTGTTCGCGTGCCTAATGAATGTGCAAATCGGTTATTACTTAAACAACGTAAGATCATATCCTAATTCTACTAATAAACTACTTAGGTCCACATGTTTATAAACAACTTAAACTTCAAATACGACAGCCGAATATGTATTACGAAATCGACGCAACACTTAGCTTTATATAATTCCGTTTCGACTTTTAATAGCTTTTGACCCTCATTTTCGGGAGCATCTTTACCCCACTTGGAGACCAATACAGAAGATACTATTTAAACGAAAGATTTAGTATGATATGCGATGAAACTACTGGTTCTCAAATCACCTCGTTTGGATTATCCATCTATTTTATACGAATATTACAAAACAGCAGATCAATCCTAAATACATGGCAAACAACCCTGAAAAGACACTGTTTCGAGCCACTTAGAATCATAACTGGATTTTCAATCCTACATGAAAGTTGTAGTATGCATTAAGAGTTTTCTAACTACAAAATATGAGCTTATTTCGACTTATGGTTTGTAAGTTATACATTATCAAAGTATGAACCTGCATAGTCGGTAAAATCCAATTCCGCAATTCCCGACTAAATTTTATAATCCAACTTTCATGATTCACTACATTTACGTGCTATAAACATACTTCAACATACTAAACTATAAAACAAGTCCAATGGTCGTTAACCTAAGCTTAATCATGCAATTCTACTCTTTTCGACATTATATCGAACAATTGGTGTGTCGTTAAACATATACACCAAATCTAACCATAATGAAACCATAATCTACACTTTCAATTTCTACATCAATTTAATCAATCCTATCATTCTAAACATGGAATATATCATACTTATAACAATATCTATCCGTAAACTTAGACATAACATCATTTATAAACCGGTCTACAAAAATGCTAACGTAAACATCCTAATAAAAATGACAAAATTTATACCTTTATGAAGGGTTCGAAGAGTGGATTCCGCATATATAATCGTTACTTCGATTGCTTCAACGATTTGAGAAATATTTTAGAGAGAAGAAAAGAAATGATAGAGAGATGAGACGGTGAATATGAAGATGAAGAAGCCGACGTTGGCTTTTTTTTTACTTTACATATTATATATATATATATATATTATAATTATAATAAGTTTAGTAATTTAATGGTTTTAACCCTTTAACAATTACCGACCGTTATTTAAGTACGGTACAATTTGGGTAAGTTAATGAGAATGTTTTTAAAACTCGAGTCTTACAATTCTTCCCCCTTAAAAGGAGATTTCGTCCCCGAAATCGAATTTAGAGATAGGGAACTTACATCAGTTTAAGATTTTTGGGTACTCCTGCCGCATATGTTCTTCAGTTTCCCACGTCGCCTCACGTTCTGAGTGATTCTTCCAAATAAATTTTACAAAAGGAATCACTCTCTTTCGTGTACCTCTCTCATCGCGATCAAGAATTGCCTCAGGCTCCTCACGATAAGATAGATCAGGCTCTATATGGTCCAAAGGATATTCAATGACATGTAGGGGATTATAGTTGTATCCTCGCAATGAGGAGACATGGAACACATTATGTACGTGGGTCAATTGTGGCGGTAGAGCTAACCTGTAGGTCACAGCTCCAACCCTTCCTAGAATTTTAAAAGAACCAATATATCTCGGGCTGAGTTTTCCTTTGAGACCGAAATGTCTAATACCATGAGTCGGTGAAACTTTCAAGAAGACTTTATCACCCGATTGGAACTCGATAGGTCGTCATCGCTTGTTGGCATAGCTCTTTTGATGAGCCTGAGCCTCTTTCATAATTTGACGTGCAATTTTGACTTTCTCGGTAGTAACTTGTACTAATTCTGGGTCTTCTAAAATACGTTCTCCAACTTCATTCCAACAAGTCGGTGTTCGACATTTTCGGCCATAAAGTGCTTCATACGGGGCCATGCCGATACTCGACTGCCAGCTATTATTATAGGAGAACTCGATTAGGTACAAGTAGTTATCCCAACTTCCATGCCATTCCAATGCACATGCTC